GAGCAGATTAATAAACCACAGGTCATTTTATTTTTTTAGCATTTGGTGCTATTTGAAGAAAAAAATGATCAGGTCTACACCAAATAAACTAAATAATGTTAATATTTTGTGAAAATATAGATTAATTTTAATGTTGCACTGACCTGCAGTGTAACCATAACAAAAAGCCTTAAAAAAGATATACCAGCTTTGGAACAAAGAAAAAGAAGGCTTACTAGGGGGGGGAAAAAACCCAAAAGGCAAAAGAAAACAGCAAGCGTCCTCAGTGGAATACATTACCGGGACAGCAAAGGCATGCTTCAGATAAACCTTTCAGATGCCTTCAGTGTCCTCCTGACTTTCAGCTCGTCTCCAAAGAGACATGTTGTGTGCCAGGGAGCATTCATCAAATTAGACCGGAGAGAAAACAATGCGGAAACCCACGGCTTTCCATGGAGACACACAGACAGGTTATCACAGAGAAGGTGTCTCTTGCTCTTGAACACAGGGGCAGTGGCGTACAGCTTTCTCCCTGAAGAGGAATCTTTCTTTCTCTCTGTCTATGCTGGCCAGCATTAAGGGAGGAAACCATGCATCCAGGGCAGCAGTGTACAAGTGTAGTGTTTTATATTAAAGTCACCTACTGCTTATAGAAGCTATTAAGGAATTGTGTTGAACACTGCAAGGCCGTTGGGTGTTACTAGGGAAGAGATCAGTGTTTATAAAGTTGTATATAAACCAGTGACTGCTGACTAAGCCTTAGCACATGCAGAGTACAGCTAGGCCTGGACATCTCATTATGGAGGACCATTATCAATTCTCACAGATCGAAAACCTGCATGACAGTTCTACAGAAAGCATTAGGATTCCATAGGCTGAGTCAGGTTGGTAGTTCCTAATCGGCATCTTCTTTGATGGTTCAATCACGGCATGAGCCAAGGCCAGTCAATACCTTTACCTTTCTGCAACATTTATTCCTATTGGCTTTAAAATACTTAATAATCTGAAATTACAGCATATAGTGAGTGCCAAGATTTCACTTCAGTTTCTGTGTACAGAACAAAAACACTGTGCTTTTTCTCCCTCTTCTTCAACTGTCTCCCCGGGTTCGTTCAGAGGAGTGGGGTCTCTGCTGCAGAGGTAGATAAATGAGCTTTGCTGTAGGTTCACCATGGCTTCAGCACTTTACAGCTAGATTAATGATGCTTTGCAAACCTTGAGTCTTTGCTCTTAGCATTCTGAAGTACCTTCATAAAATGAACCATGGGTATATCTTCTTGATAAGCTTATCTGTTGGGAAATAATTCATTTGGGAAAATTGTTTTCACGTCAATAAACTTGACAGATTTTCCCAGTATTAAAACAAAAAATTAAAGATTTTATATGAATAATAAATGGAGGCACAACACAGCTGAAAATGCTGCTAAAATCTCCTGAGTAGTAATGTTGTGTTTAGAATGACAAACCTCTGCTTTAATACATAACACACTGCCCAACTAATAAGAACGTAGTGATATTTAAGTCTCCAGTTTAGACCTGTCTTCTTAAATTAGGGTTTGTGCAATGGTGAGGCGGAAGTCAGGGTAAATGCTGCACAAGGGTAGTAATTTGGAGACCTAACCAACGTGCCCCCCTGCTGAAAGATTTAAAAGCTCTCTCCCTTAAACCCAGCCTGCCTGTAATTCACTAAACTGGAAAATAAGCTTTTGTTAAATATATATTCAATTTTCTTCATCTGCATTCAAACAGAAGCTGTAATTGTATATTTGTTTTTAAACACTAATGTTGCACTTATACACACTGACATTCACTCACACCTTCCCCAACAACTTTGTCACCAGCTTCAAATAAACAAGCCATGCAGTAATTTTGTGGTCCACCTACACTTAAAACATTTATATACAACAGCTTTTATTCTACTTCATTTGGCACAGACAAAAACACTGCAGGAACACTTGGAGAGAGCTGAAATTTATTAAAACAGTCTTCAGACATCAGGATGTTACTTACAGGCTGAATAGGTCTAAAAGAAATCCTTTTCTTACCTGAGAAAACTAAAGTAATTTCTTATTTCTTCCTTAAGAAGATTTTTTTTTTGTTTAATTAAACTTATGTTTAACCCAGACACCTTTCTGCTCAAGCTATTATCTCAGCTAAATTTATCGGTTGTTGTGAGTGTTTCTGTGCTCATTACTTTGATTTGGGTTACTCCCACCATAAAATAAGCAATACCAATTGTTTCATAATCCTGGGTCAATACGTTTTTTAACAAAAAAAAAAAAATAAAAAAAAAAGGGAAAAGCTTCATCACAGAGAACTAAAAAAGTATTTCCAATACTTCAATTAGGGCCTTTAATGAACAACACCTGATTAAAAGAAAATAAAAGAGCCCATGTCTTGTTAACACACCCATAGAAAAACTGCTTTTGCTACATTTCGTTTTGATTTAACCAGAGAATTTGAATCCAGGTGCTTCTAATTAAAGCACTTCATCATTTTGACCACTTCTATAAAAGGAAGATTTTTTTTTTTATTGAAGGTTGTTGTTCAAGAGCATTCGTGTGATGATTAAAAAAAAATGCCTTCAACCAAAAGGAACCACTAACAGTGGTCTTTAATCTACCAACGTTATTTTCACATATTTTGAAGGGTCTTCTGCTTACAGTGGGAATCACATCTTACTAGAGCAACCATGTATTTGAATGAGTAACAAGATTTATAAAACAATAGCCTTGATATAAAGTCCGAAAAAAGTTTATTTGCACACAAAGATTTCAGCAGTTGTCAAGCATTGGGTTGTCAGTGAGACGATTCCAGACAGCATCTTAAACATAAATGGGAAACGGGAAATGTAATTAAATGTCCAAAACAAGGTCTAGCATGAGTCCTGCGCATAAATTAATGCATGAAAATATCAATAATCTGAAGTGATATTTGTAAGAGGAATGAAAGAACCACTTACTGATTATTCAAAAAACAGTTGCTTCAAGTTATGAATCTTGGGGGGCAGCTGGTTTAAAAAAAAAAAAAATTTTTTCAGTTTTATATGTTTTAACAAATAGTATTATGATCAATAATATTATAAGTATTTCTCCTAATTATTTCCATTCCTTATATTTAATAGCTGGCATTTTGTTTCCTGGGTTTTTCATGCATTGTTTGGTTATCTTATAGAAAATTAATGCCTCTTTCTGACCTGTTTAAAGAAAAGAAAAGATAAATATGAACACCACCTCTTAGGTTACCCTTTGGGGAGGTATTCTGCAGATAATACACCCACATCACACAGTTTTCTCTCTGCACCTTAACAATAAATCTGACGGATGGAGTTAAGGCCTGTGAGAGGGAGAATGAGACTGGTAAGGTGGGACAACTAGGGAGGCGGTATTGATTCCTTGATTCCCGTACCTCTGCCAGAGAGTGTAGTGTGTCGAGATCTCCTGCCAGGAAAAACAAATCATGAGGCAGAAGTGATTGATGTGGCACTCCAGGATCCGGTGGTTTTGCCATCTGGATGGCCGATGCTGTATATCAGCCTCATGCACAGCAAATTAAATTTACATTTGGACGGCTTCCCCAGGCCTCATGCTTTACAGATGCAACTAAAACGAGCCTCCACCACAGCACCCATAATGAGCTTGATCTATCATTTCCAGAACTATTATGTAAAGATCATGTTGGCCCATGTTCAGAAAGCCAGAATGATGTTACCGTCACAGGAAAATCAGATTAAGAGTAGCCAAATGGATGTTCGGCAAAATGACATCATCTTTTATTATCTTAAGAGGAGTCAATGTTAATCCAACTAGCAGATGTTTTGATGCACATTTAAACATTAGTGACATAATAGCACAAATGCAATACAAGCCTGTGTCCATCTTTATTTAAGTGCCTGATATTGTCTTTACCATTTTTTTTTTACTCATCACAAAAATACAAACAATGTGCACTTTTATTGAAGCAGCTCATTCTACTTAGCAGCACTTCATATCTAAAAGTCTAACTTGGCCTTGAGGAGGCTGCCACGCTTAAATGAAATGACCTTTAACGCAGAGCTGATCAAATGGCCTGAGGCAAGACTATAAAAAAACATTGCAGTATAATGTTTTACAGTGTGCTTTTTCTGGTCCGTTGTTTGCCCTTTCCCATTCTCCAAACTGGTACATTCTATCATCTTTAGTACGTGCATTTTCTGAAATGGATTTAATAAAAGAGCATGTATGGTAGGCAAATATAGAATATGGTTAAATTGCATGCTAATTTTGTAAAAGGGACTTATACGCATTGAAAGATAGAAGGAAATATTGATTGAAATCTGATTCTCTCTTGTTAGGATTAATCTTTTTCATTCATAAAAAAAAAAAACTCTTAAACGTAAAATATCTAGGTTGTTAAACAAAACAGAAGTGCATACTTCCCCATTAATTATAGCTTTTCCTATAATGCTATAACATATAGATTCTAATGTTTTGTTTAATCTCCCTCTGGAGTGAAATAATTTTAAGCAGAGATCCCTTTTTGTCTGGATTAAGGTAATCATCTTTATTGCCCAAGCCACAAAGTTAGAGGAATTTTGATAGAAATGTCTGATTCTCTCTCCTTTGCTTTTCTTTTGTTTTTTTTTTACATCTAGATATCATAGGTGTATTTGATAGCTTTTAACAACCTCTTGAATGGTATCTGCAAAGTGACATGAACAAATGAAACAAAGCGTGCATGTGATTTGACAACTACCTTGTGAATTTGAATTGGCTGATCTCATTTTAGTAAAGAAGCTGTAGCCTTGAAAGCAGCGCAGCAGCTGCTACAGTGGCAGCCGTGTTGACAGATAAATCCAGCAGCCAAATAGTGTAGCTGTCTGGATTCACATGCCATCTGCCCGAACTCTCCTTAACCTAACCCTCCAGAATTGCTGCTTTTGGATGTTTTGAGTGGAAATCATTTCACCTTTTTTCTTACAGCTTAAGAATTTATTTCCGTCACCTCTTTATAACGTATATCCCTGTTTTTCTTCCTTTTAGACAACTGAGGACAGTGTGGTGGCTTCTGCTGAGTGTCCAAGTGATGATGAAGACATTGATCCCTGTGAGCCGAGCTCAGGTGGGTTAGGTTAGTCATCTCTTTTTTTCTTCTACTTCTCTTTGGGTGTGTCAGTGTGTCTTTGTGCATCATAAATTACCTTCAGCAGGACATTACACATCAATCGACAGTCAAACTGAACAGATGGGAGCTGTAGTAAAAACCTTAAAGATATCAAGGAATTAGTTTTATTTTTCTCTTGCTGCTGCTCTGTATCTTTTCAATCTGCTTTCTAGCTTTAAGGGGATCTTAAACTACAGCATAGAAAATTGTGAGATGAAAAGATTTGGTTATTGTGGATATAAAATTTAAGGTCTTTACTGAAAAAATCTTCGCTTAAAACAGTCCATTTTAATTTTCCCACTTTATTTGTATTATTTAGATGTACTGTATTTTGATTTATAGAATTACCCTCTTCCTTTTGTGTTTAGCGAATAGCTTGGTAGGAACAAAAAGCAAAATATCTTATCTTCAGAGTTTCCAAATAAGAGGAACTAAATTGCCCGTGTATTTTCTTTTTTTAGAAGGTGTAATAAGTGTGGTGTATTGCAGGTGATCTAAAAAAGATTGCTGCACAAATGTTAGGATGTGCAAACCGATTTGGTTTCCTCAGTGAAAAGAGCAGATGGCATGTTCTACAGGCAGTTTAAGAGTGGCTGTAATGATTAGGGTTCAAAGCCAATGAGATGCAATGGACAAAATTAAAAGAAAATAAAATGTGCTTGTAGCACAGTTATATTTTATTAAAATAAGCAAGTAAAAAAATCCCTGTTGCAAAGAGATTAGGTTTCAGTCGTCTTTTTTTCTATTTCATTTAATTGTATACATTTTGTCTGCAACCCCGCTGCAATTTGAGCCAGCCTGTGTAGACGTTTGTTTCTTTTCTAATATTATTTTGCAATTCTCACTTTTCAGTTTCCAAATATGTTTACCTATCCCCTGAATATCCTATCCTAACTATCCTGTGATATTGTACAGTACCAATGCATGCTTTGTGGCAACATTGACTGCAGGTATTCTTGCATGTCAGTTTTCACCTAACCTTCAGAAGTAATAAAAATGAAAAAAACCTTCAGCCACTGTTGAGTTTATAATCTTGAAAATGGCTATACACATGGTAACTGTTTACATTTGCATACCCTCCCCCTATGAATTTGTTGTTTGAGTTTGGTCATTATAAAAATTCTACATTTAAATGAGGTAACACAATCAAAGAATGGTTTGCACACGCTGTTTGATTAATTGCAAACCCAAATAACTTTGCACCTTCTTTAAAGATCTGCTCTGCTTGTACAAACACATTTGCACCTGTTTTAAGAAACAAAAACCTTCTAAAGATCAGGCCCTTTGTCTGCAAACAAACAAAAATATAGATGGTGTCAAATTGAACTAAACAACTAAATGGCTAGATATCTGCCTATCTATAAAGCAAAAACTTTACTTTACGACAATGGACACGATTTAATAGCTGTCTGAAGATCATCCAGTCATTATATTTTGACATATTATTCTTAAGGTTGTTTTGTGGATGTTTTATGAACATTATGCTGTGTAAAACATCCAACATCAAACCCTTATCCATATTTAAATGTTTATCTAAACCGCTGGATAACTTTTACATATTAGGGTATTAGGGACTCCAGGACCCTCTAACCCAAATTTATACTAAATTAAGATACCAGGATGCTCATTTACTGCAGGCCAGTCAACAAACAGACTAAAGTTTTTTGTTTTTTTCTCAAAATTACTCTTCCTTTTCCCCTTTGCCAGAGATATTGAGTTCCAGGCTGTGTCAGTAGGGATAGTGGAATATGAATAAATCATTTTAAAAAATAAAAACATTAAAAAAGCACAAACAATGTTTGTATTTATATATGCAAGAATGTCTTGTGTGTTTTTACCAAACATAAAATTCCTTAACTGGAGGTAGTAAGAGAAGAATAGGAGAGACACTGTTGTCTGGTTTGCTCGAAAGTTTTCATGAAAATAGATTTTTGGACTTTATAAAGAAGTTTTTGCCTCAAGTATAGTAAGGTGGAAGAGAGCGGTGAATATAGTTTTAGGTTTTATGCTAACTATTCACACTCCAGGAAATTCTGCAAGGTTTTCCTCCCATTTGACCCAATGCAGGCAGTGTGCTGTTCTACCTGCTTTCTCCTCCTAAGAACCATCACATTTCTGAACCAAACCATGGTGTACATGATGAGAGAGAAGGAAGATACAGCAGCAGCTCCCCATTATTACACTGAGTAAAGTGGGAGGAAAACAATGCTGAATCACTGTATGGTACATAGCCAGTGTTAAACCTAAATCCACCTTCACGGTGGACTTCTGCTGGACTTCCTGAAGTATTTTCGACATTAAAATAGCCGATCGATGTTTTTTTTAAAAACACCATGTCTCTCCTATTTGGACCATATGAACTGTTCAATGCTGATATTTTTTATAAGGGGAAATCTATATGCCTCTGTACAGCTTATTTAGTGTGTGTTCAACTGATTTAGGAGTTATTAAATCCTCCTTCAGCCTTCAGACATGGTTTTGGTAAATAGTAAAATCTATTTCACTTTGAACCATTCCAGTTGCGGTATTCCATAATATCATTGTAGTCACTATTGAATTGTATTATCTTTTCCTATAGTGCTTTCTTTGCGAAAATCCAATTTCTCCTTTTTCCATGGTCAGTCAGTGAACAGTAGTCTGTTTCCATTACATCAAGGCCCTAATCATCCTTAATGCACCATCTTCGGAGAATATACTAAAAGAGCAGTTACCAGTTTGGAAAAAAAAACTGTAATGGAAACACTGCAAAATGGGCTGAGTGGAGTAGAGCCTCTTTCAACTAGAGCCCATGGAATACGGGCACTAGATTATTAATGAAAAATGGTTTGTCAAATTTATAGTAGTAATGGTTAGAAAGTATCTTATTGTAACTACTACAAATCATGTATATCTGTGCTGCCACTCTGTCAAAATTTACATTTTTCTAAAGCAATGGGGTCGTCTTGACAGTATAAGTGTTTCCATCCACCAAGCAAAAAGGATTTAGCTCTATTAACATGTTATTGCAAGTCAAACACTTCCTTCTTGGTTACCGTACTTTGAACTAATACCTCGTCCAATAACAGACCTTTTGTTGTATCCAACAAATTTCTTGGGCAAAAAGAGGTCCTGTCCAGAAAAAGCAGCAATGACACTAACATTTTAAACCTGTTTCAAGTGTGAAAAAAAATGTAAGCACTTGGTCTATATACCCCTACCTGTATTGAGAGCTATTATCTGCTATGTTTGCGCATTAGGACCACCACAGATAGCTTCATCCTCAATACGAACGGGCTTACACAAATTAACACAAGTTATTTTTAAAAATATGTATTTATGAACAGGGGTGAGTATTGGCATGGGTGTTGTGATAAGATACATATCACGATACTTGGATCACAATACGATTGTCAAGGTTTTGCCCTTTAAGTTGCTTTTTAAGTTTTTTCTTTCACTGCAATTTTGTGTTGCTCTCTATTGCCCCCTTGTGCCAGTCTCCTTTCACCTGCTTCTTGTCAGGTGATTAGCCCAGTCCTTGTTCGGTCTCCCATGTATAGTCCTCTTGTGCAGTTTCTCAGTGCTTGTTGCTCATCGTTACTTTGCTCCTCATGTCTGTTTTTCTGTATTTTTTCCCTGGATTTGTGTTTCTGTTGCCATCTGCATTAAATCTGCAAGAACTCATCTCTGCCTCCTCATCTCTGCGTTTGGGTCCACGACCACATCCACCATCTTTGATAACGATATTATCATGATATTGCAATATCACTATATATTGTACTATATTTCCCAGCTATCAAAATTAAATGTGTAGATAAAAAAGCAAGTGCTCTGTATGTTCATCAGATTATATTGATCATTTAGTTATTTTGGTATTCATGTTGTTTGGGGTTTGAGGCAGTCCACGTCTTCCAATGTGACTGCCACAACTACAGATATGGGGCTCCACAGCGCTCTCTGCCATAGTGGGACTGCAGAGGAAGCCCATTTTCCCTCATTGTTTTAGTTAAAAATGTTTGGTTTTTATAATCTCAAAACTAGGAACTAAAAGATCGATACTATATTGGGCAGCCAAAAATCACAATATATCACCAAAATGATTTTTTTTCCCACACGTCTATTTAAGAATATAGGTTCATCAAATGATTCATTTTATCGTGGATTTCACGCTATATCATCAGTCCACACAAATATCTATATTCTCTCTCCAACATTCTTGTTTACAGCTTTCTCTCTTCTTTTGTCGTTACTCCTGTTGCAGCATTGTTGTGCTATCTAATGATGTGGCACAAGAATTACAATGCTCATTTTGGCTCTTCCTGCTTCCTGTTGTTTATTTTTATGATTAAACCTCTCTGTGATGAAATTTAATTTGGCTCCATGCTGACGCTTAACAGGAGTTATCAGCTGGTATTTTAAATATACCTTCTAAAATTATCTTCATATTTATGTTTTATCATTATAAGGAGAATATTTTGTAAGATAGAGCTTAATCGAAGCCCCTTTTTAACCCTTTTCTTGAGCAAACGCACAAGTTTGACTTTTGTGTCTGAGCATTCATTTGCTCTGCATTTATGTTAATAAGGAGCATGCTTATTGGTATGGGAGGCTGGCCCAGAGTTATACACATTGATCCGGTCTAAAAACAATACCAAAATCTCAATGGTGCCCTCATTGAGAGACAAGCCTAAACGAACTGAGGCTTTTTGGAATCTATCTGTTTGCGGTAAAGTAAAAACTGGAAAGTAAAGAGGCAGACACATGGGAATCTAGGTCTTCCCTACAGCTTTGAGAAATGACAGTATTGCAGCTTTTTATGTACTGTAACACACACAGAAAACCAACCAGAGCAGTTTATAAACTAAATATATATAGCAGAGAAATGAAAAAATACATAGAAATCTATTTTCTGGCATGAAAAGGGAGCTCATACAAAAAAAGAAAAACAACAAAAAAAGTCGCTTTCAAACTCTGGATTTTCCATCAGGTTT